TGATCAGGTTGTTGCAACATTGTTCGCTGAACAACGTTGCAACAATGAGGTTATCATGGCTGAACAACGTTGTTCAAGCGACAATCGTTAACAACATTGTTCCAACAACTTGTTCACGCTTGATGAACGAACAATGGTTGTTGCAACATGATGGAACAAGCGTCAACAAGGTTGATGAAACATGTTTGACAAATGTTGTCAGAACAATGTTGTTCAGCGTTGTTTATTCATCAGGCGTCAACAATATTGTTCGAACAGGCGTGAACAACATTGATAAAAGAACAAGTTGTTTTTAGTTGTTCGAACAACCGTGAACAGCATTGTTATAAATAGACGGTAAAATAATGATTTGAACAACACGAAAACTTGTTTTTATATAATTATTGGTTGTTGCGAAAGCGCTGGATGCAAAACGGACGAATGGGACGAATATCACGAGAGCAAGAAATCAAACGGGCTTTTACAGCGAAATAAATGTCGTTTAAACTTTGTGGTTTTTTCTGAAGATTGAGGGAAAAATACTGAAGAAAATAACTTGGTAAGTGTCTTGTTTTGAGGTAAGGTTAGTTGTAAAAGCTTAAAACAACCCGACCATTTGATTTTAGTCATTTTCATAGTGCACGACGAAGAAATGCACATGCACAAACTTTATAGTACTTTTATATAGGCATTGCATTTTGATATTTTTCTCTATATTTTCAGTATATATGAAACAAGAAACCACGGTCATACTGTAATAAAAGCCGTCAATATAAACAAAACATTTAATTCTCAAAATATTGTTTAAATTTTTCCAATTACACTCTAAATTTCTGTCAGAGTCTTTTTAACTTTGAAATTTGATATGTCAAAAACGCTATCATATCATCACTGCTATATATATAAACAATTCCTATTGTGTTTTAACAAGGTCAACCAAATACTTGATCAGTTTACACACCAAGAATGATGTATTTACTGCATATAATATGTGATGGATAGATTATAGGTATATATAGGTAGGCAAGAGTGCATACAGTTAAATAATTAGCTATTTCTCATATTTCCTTTTATTTCCTGGTTAAGCAGGTGACTATAATTGTCATGGAAGGTATATGAAGGAGGTAGCTATGATTTTATCACATGGCTATGGGGGATAATTATGACCATTATTATGCTCACATGTAATTATTGTCTCATTTTTATCCTTTTTGTAGTGTAAACTTAAGTATAAAAATAAAGATCTATGAACATGTCAGACAAATTATATACAATGGGTGATAACTTGGTAAGTAATTTTTATATCTTTGTTGTGGTCTGTGTAGATGGAGGCTATTTTGGCAATAGCCATGCACTTAGACATAGCATGACCAGTCCATATGTGGACTGCCTATATGTCTATTAAACATGATTGAATACCCAAATTAGATTCAAGATTATGATATGTCCCAGGCATGGATCCAAAAATGACCATGTACTGAAGTTATATGGCATGAGCCATGTAAAATATGGTGGGAAACATACAATTGGGGCTGCATCCCACCATAATGCACTAGTCAATTGAAACCCCGACCCCCGGGATAGGGAGGGGAAATTAACATTTTGACAATGTTAAATTTTGGACATTTAAATTCCTAGCTGCTACCGGGAGAATATTGACTGTTAAAATTACTGTCCCTATGGCCCCAACACTTTGCAAATTTTCATGACTTGGGAAATTTTCATGACTTGGGAATTAATTGTCCTGGCTAATAAATTGATTTGTTATTTATTACCCTGTACCCTGGGGGAAATCTGCATTAAGACTGTGTTAATCCACGGCCATTTCCCCGTTAATTCCCCGCCCTGTCCCTGGGGTTGGGGGTTTCAATTGACTAGTGCATGCATAAACATTGCAAAGGTCCATTTTGTAAATTAATGGCACTATGTATTTAATCTTAATTTATAGGGCCTGTGAGTTCATATCTGGAATAAAATAGTGGCAAATCTACAGAAATATCACTGCTAAGGAGTGTCAAACAAATTCAGGAGGACTGAATTAACTGGATGTTCTCAGGATGAAAAAGAAATTGTAGTTGACTTTAATTGAATAATCATTAATATCATTAATGTAAGGTTAAAAATATTGAACATTCAAAAGGATGCAGACAGAAAATTGCAAGTAAGGCCTGAATTTCAGGTTAAGTGATCCAGGAATGGGGTTGGCCCTCTGCAGGCTAAATCAATTGAGGGAGATCCCTTTATTTCAAGTTAAATGATTATTTGAATAAGATGCCATTCAGGCAATAAGGGCCTGGTTAGGTCCATATTTTAATTCAAATTATTAAGTACTCGATTTATCCATCAACAAAACCCAACATTAAAATTTCCATCGAGTGAGATGCAACAAAACCATCTATAGTTTATTAATTATATTAACCTAATCCATCACTGGCAATGAGCCTACTTTAGTATTTTAGACTATCTCTAATTTGCCCATATATTTATAAACTGACTAATACTATTACAACATAAAACGCTCACTGAGTTTCCAGCGATATACATACCCTTTTCTAGATATATACCTAATAATAATAAACGAACGAACGAATGTATTCCTTCCACTCCATATTTCCTGATATGGTTTGTTATGATATGACGATAAGGAAATGAGTTGTGTGAGACATATTGTTATGCTAATAATAATTTTGCAGGTGGCTATCAAGTGGCATTCACTTTGAACGTTCGTTCATGCGCAGTTGTTCAATCGTTCTCTTGTAATGGTTGAATAAATAAACTTTTGTGTGTGTGTATTCTTTCCTTTTAAGTGCCCATCCAGGTTCACAAGGCCTGGACATTTACTATATGTGGCAATGGTAAATGAGCTCACGAGTGGAAGGAATACATTCGTTAATTCGTTCGTTTATTATTATTAGGTATATATCTAGAAAAGGGTATGTATATCGCTGGAAACTCAGTGAGCGTTTTATGTTGTAATTTTATTTCCTGAGTACGGGTCTTCGACCAATTTCATATTGACTAATACTATTACTCTTTCATGCACATACTAATAAAATCATCTGGGGCCGGTTGTTCGAAGCCCGTGTAAGCCTTTGAACTACCGGCCCCAGATGATTTTATTGGTCTGTGAAAGATCAATTGATTGATTCTCTATTAAACTGTCAGTTTATAAATATAATGGGCAAATATATTATGTACAAATTGCATGCATGGTTCATAAAATCTCTGTGATAGACTTGCTCCAACAGATTCAAATTCCATCCTGACAATACCTAAATAATAATTATAGAGGTTGCAGTGTTGCACTACCTTTTGCTAAAATACTGCCATTGTTTACCAGTATTTAATATGAACTCAAAAGTCAAAACACTTAACACTATGAAGTATTTAGATTTATAAATAGTACTTAATTAGTATTTTATAAACCTTAATTGCATATAAAATAGTTTATAGTTATCTTACCTTTGTACTTTTACTGTAATTATCTCTTTAGTTTGTATTTGTTCACTAATCTGTGTTTTCTTATTTCAAAATAAACTGAATTTCATATCAAGAAGCGAAGTTTGTCTGTTTGTGTGCTTATTTAAAGGCACAGTTCAGCCTTCTGAGTGATGGTTTTTATGGCGCATTACAAGACTTTTAATTGAAAAAACTAACTAGGAAAATCAATTAAGCATAATTCAAAATCAGTGAACTCAATGTTAAAAAAACATTAGAAATGTTTAAAAATGTTAAAAACATTGAAATCACTGATCTTGAATTGTGCTTAATTGATTTTCCTAATTAGTTTTTTCAATTCAAAGGCTTGTAATGCGCCTTAAAAACCATCATTCAAAAGGCTGAACTGTGCCTTTAAATTTCTCTCCCCCCCCCTGGAAAATGGCCACGAATAACAGCGTCGAGAACGATTGATATCAGGCTGTTTACGTATTGATAAAACAAGACTGTTCGCAGTTGTTGACAATATAAAACATCATTGATATCAGGTTGATCTCAGTTGTTCCAACAACGTTGTTCAGGCCTTGTTCGTTCATCAGGCGTTAACAACATTGTTCGAACAAGCGTGAACAATATTGTTGACAACATTGCTGCAAGTGGGCCGCACAATATTGCAGCATCCTGTTCAGAACCAAGTTGCAGCAACTTGTTGACAACTTGCAACAACATGATGATTTTTACGCGTGTAGATCACAATTCACAATGCAGCGTGATATAGGTTACAATTTCGCATTCGGAATTACTTCATCTTATGACCCATATAGTTGACGGAAGGCTATTTTATATTCCGGGCGGGGGATGTTTCAAATTTAAAAATGTTTTCAGGGTTTCAAAATGGCGCCATGAATACAAGCCCAGAAATCAACATCGAAGCTTTCTTGAGAATATTCCAAATCAATTTACAGAGGCGCGTCGTCAATTATTTTAATTTTGGAATAGGTGATAGGACCTCTACATGCGTCTTGGACCTGTGGTTTACTTATAATCATTATTTAGATATCTAATGGATTTCTTTTGTTTTCAACGGGGTCTTGAAATTCCAGTATGGAATGTAACATTTCTGTGCATCGCACACTTTAAACGCAACTTTGGTTGTGCACCACATGTTTTGCACATAGCCAGCGGGCTCATGATCTGTGCACGTTCTAAATTAAGATTCTGGGGGGCAGGGTTTTTTCAGGATTTTTTCTTGGGTCCGTTCTTGCACAGAAGATTGAGTTTAACTGAACAGCTGGGGGTCTGGGGCAGCTGCGGGCGGCTGACACATGTACCCAATAAGTGTAATTGAGGCGCAATGTGTTAAAGCAGACACCATAAACTGATTAAATATGGCGAATGCGTTGTTTTTCTTGTGTCGTAAAATGAATTTCAGCCATTATTCTGGATTGTGGGGTTTCCAACTGAAAACTAATTTGCACACGTCACGAATTTAACTCAAACAACTTCATTTTTACGGCACATGTGCGCCGTGCACATCGCCTTTATTCCATACTGGTTGAAATTAGACCATGCCGTGAAATATTGTATAAAAGGGTGTACGCGTATTATGCGTGCGTTGTTTGTGTCTTTTTATGTAAATCCATTGTAGAAATATCGAAATTGAAGTTAGCATGTACTGTATGTAAAGTTTTTACTTGGTAATTGATAGGTGTAATTTGAGCTTTCGATAACATCTGCTACAAGCGACCGAAACTGAGGACTGTTTACCACATTTTGAACAACAGATTCGACATCTCCACGCGTGTCGGCCATTGTCATCAAAATTGAAGCGAAGGCGCGAAGCATCGACAATGAATATGTCCAATGTAATGTCTCCCCCCCCCCCGGAATATAAAATAGCCTTCCGTCCACTATATGGGTCATAAGATGAAGTAATTCCGAACGCGAAATTGTAACCTATATCACGAGCTGCATTGTGAATTGTGATCTATATCACGAGTTGTGATATAAACCATGATTTGTAATGTATATCACGCGCTTTCAATATTTATATATTTGGAATAGTAACCTATTCATCACGAGTTATACTGTATATATTTGCAGTAATATATATCACACACTATGATCTATTTTGTCATATTTGGCGCCTCATACGTCCTCCCTGACTTTGTAAAACAGACAAAATTGATGAAAAATATCAAGATTTTCAGTTCAAAGACAAACGAAACCAAAATATTTTATATTTGTGAAAAAAACCAGGGGGGTGAAAGATATTGTTTAAAGCGTAGGATCGCGGTTGGTCAGTGGTAATTACCATGAGAAATAAGAACCAGTAGTCATGGCAATGGCGTAAGATCCGCCATGTTTTTGGCTTCACTTGAATGACTGGCGGAAAGATAGAAGCAGCTCCTCCAGTAATATTATAGCTCAGTGGCGTAACCCGTAATTCGTCATCAAATGCTGACGCCATGGTCCTAGCCAGTGCGCGTTTGAGAGGCATTCGCCCCCCTGATATTATTAAAAATGGCGGATGTCCAGGGGGGAATGCCTCTCAAACCCGCACTGGCTCATTGAACTAAAAATAACTTTTATTTCACTCTTTATATTTTTAGTTCACTTCACTGCACTGGCTAGGACCATGGCGTCAGCATTTTGATGATGAATCATGGCGTGGCAGCGTTACTCGAGTCGACCTTCTGTGTACCTTATTCTGTGACTATAGTATACTGTTCGTTCAAAAAATGCGCGCATTTCGGAGACTGGTTCTAGAATGTTTCATAAGCAGAAAACCACCAAAATTACATTAAATTTTCCGAAAATCATCGAAATGCATCTAAATTCATCTTCCCAATGCATATAGCTAACTATGCGACAGGTAAATAAACGAGAAAAAAAACAATTTCGGCAAAAAGAAAATTTCAAATTCGTTTGCGCGCATTCCGGGACCGAACTCACGACTTTCAGCACACACGCTGAGTCTTGTCCCCCTGCGCCACCACGTCTTACACGGAAAATATGTTAATTTATTGTATATATACATGTTATTCTTAGCCAGCGCGATTAAAGATTGCGTAAATATGTACACCATCGTACACGGCCAAGGGTACAGTAGCAGCCGAGCCGTATCCAGGCGCGGATCCAGCCTAAACCCTGACCGTGGCTCACTCCAAAACCGTCAATAATTAGGGGGGTCCGGGGGCATTCCCCCCCGGAAAATTTTTGAAATTTGAACCCCGGAAATGCCATTTCCCGAGTTCTGAGCATCGAATTCTATCATATAATTCGTCATTAATTTCGCCATATTTTAGAGAGCAAATAACGAAACGCACTAAATATGTCAAATATTTAAACAGCATACCATGTTCTTCAACGTTACAACATTAGAATGTTACAAAATCACTGTACTTACATAAAACCACAACTATGTACCGCATGTACTGTTCCTGTGTATTTCAGGTTCTTCGTAGCAAAAAATATCCAATTAGGGCTGTACATCGAACTCAATCATCTTGGCGTTTCAGTTGCAACGCAGGTCTTTTACGCGGTGGGTTTTTTCAGCTGCACATGCATCGATAGCAAGTGTCTTATTCTCGATCATTCGCTTAAACTGTGTAGCACGGAAAGTTGCCGTTGCGTGAACATTGGATTTTTCACCATGCTGACATAGTCTCTGGACAGCAGAAGCACTTGGAGGAAGAGCACTGGTCATCAATAGTTGGAGCTCGCTTGCATTATGCGTGCTTTCACTGCCAAAAAGAACACAAGTGACGCAAAAACCACCGTTTGCCACAGCAGAGTAAGCCAACCATGGAAATCGTGATAACCATGCCAACCGGAAACGTCTACTAATATTTTCGCGTGGAGGAAAAGAAAAATCAGAACCAGGTTTCCAATGGCAATGATTGCACAGAATTTCGTACTTTTTCGAATCAGGAAGACTGGACACCAGATTTACGTAGTTGTAGATATCATCTGGCCACGAATTGGTGGAAGTTCGTTGTGTTTTGCTGTTAGATTTTTC